TACCAGATACTTGGTTGTTGCTTTCCTTCTACGTGGGTAGCCAGCAGAACAAACAATTGTCTCCAATTTGGAGCTCCTCCTGCTACCGTTTCGCGGGCTATTAATTTGGCCGAAGCTGCGCTTTCAGAAGCCTTGAAAGGGTACGGCCCGGCAAGGATAGTATGGCCATCGCTCACGCGTCAGAGAGCGCTGGCGAACCTGGTCTCTTTGAAACAGCCTCTCCTTTCGTTCACTTGGGGCTTTTTGGATGGAAAAAACTACAGAGTACGCACTTTTCCCAAAACTACTTGAGCTCACTTGGTTTCATGTAAACTGACAAAGATTTTCTTTTTTCGGTCTAGGTGCAGTCGCCTTCAGAACGAGAGCTTCAAAACGCTCATTAAAACTGGTGGCTGCATTGTGTGTACGTTACCGGGACTCTATGCTCTTCTGCAGACGGTCTAATAATATGGGCCAAACACAACTGCCCCGGAACCTGGAACGACGAGGACACTTGCCTAGCATTCAGGAAGAAACTATCGGACAGACAGCTGAACCCCGATCAGCGTTTTGGTATTGTGACGGATAGCGCCTTCCCGTGTGGAGGCGACATGAGAGGAAGAATTCTAACCCCGTTAAAGGATGGAGATCTAGGTCGTTTGGTGTCCTCTGTGAGAAGAGTCGCTGGAGCTTTGTCGTCGGCAATTACGTCAATAGGGCAGTCTGCCCAGTGGGTTATGGGGTCGATCGAGAAGGTTTACCACTGCTTATTTACTGCCACTGCCCTACGATAAAGAGAAGCGGCGAGTTAGACTGAACGTCCTGTTTCGTTTGAGCAATTATCGGGTACGCACTGTGGGTATCAGCGAGATACGAACAACCTTTTTTCACAGTCAAGATGATATGCAGTACGAAGTAGCTCACTAATGTGTATTTACGAAGACAATTACTACAAATGCGTTGAGTTTTCGTCCTCCTTCTGAGACCCTTGCTTTTTTGGCATGAATGCTGAGAGTAAGATCATCATTTGCTGGTGTCTTTCCCCAGCTTCCTGCCTGTCAAGCTTCATTCGTTCGTCGAATTGCCTGCGCCTTTCAGCCAGCTCTTGGACACGTCTGTTCTCTTCTTCTCGTCGAGTTTGCTCTCTCTCTTCTCTCTCCTTTCGTTCAGTTTCTCTTCGCTCGTTGAGATCTTCTCGACGACGTTTTTCTTCGGCGTCGGCACGTCTATTTGCGTCCTCCCTGAAATAGGCCGTCAGGTTGGCCACTTCTAACCCCGCTGCATTTTGGGTGTCTTCGTTCATCGTCACACGTTTCTCCATTTCTTGCATCCGTTGTCTGGCATTGAATCGTTTCGCCGTCACGTAGGCTGTAGTTCCTGGAGTCTCTTGAACTGGTCTTTTCTGCGAGAACGTCGTGCTCGTGCCTCCCATTCCGTAAAGTTGTCGCGCAACACCCGGAGATCTCTTGCCCCCAGTCGGTTGCTCGAGGTTTGCAGCCTTTTGTTTCTGGACTTTTCTCTCTCATCAAAACCACTGTTGTCTGGGTTTCTGGTAAGCCTGGGGCCTTCAGGCGTCGCCATGGTGGGGACAAAACGTTCGTCGCTCGCGTAGGAGGTAGACTGAAGTGAAACTCGAGAGGATTTCTGTGTGTTTATGCTTGAGAGTTGATCGTCTGTTGTACGGGTCTCCGAGAAGTTGTACTTTCCTGAGACTTGCCTTGTTCTATGGCTGTGGCTTCTACCTCTACCTCGCGGTCTTCCTCGCGAAGAGTTGCTTCCTCGCCGTTATCTGACGG